TCCTGTTTTTCCAAGGACTGGACGCGATGCATGACGTTGTTTGCACCCTGACTGGCTTGGTCAGCTTCAACGGCATCCTCTGCCTTCTCCTCTTCGGCCTCGCGCATGTCCTGGGACTGGCGCTGCTCAACCACAGGCTCAGCCGTAATCTGCTCGAACCTGAGCTTTTCCAGGCGTGACTTCTCGGCCTCCGCCTCGGCCTCGGCCTTCTCCAACGCTCGCTGTTTGGCAGCTGCTGCCTCCTCCCGCTGTTTGGCAGCTGCTGCCTCCTCCTGAATCTTGGACAAGCGAGTCTGCAGCGTGGCCTGCAAGCTTTTGAACTCCTGCACATCACACTGCGCAGCGGCCGCAGGATTGACCTCCTTCTGCCGGATCCATGCCTCCATGGACACAAGGATGTTGGTGTCGCCTCGGCCACATGACATGAAGCCGAGCAAACCCCTGCCAGGCTGCCAGACAACAATTGAATTGCCCTTTACTTTTTTTGGCAAGTGTCGCTGCAGGAAAACCCTGTCCATCAGGCGGTGGTAGGCTGTGCAGTCATACACCGCCTCGTAGTTCGTTCTTATAGCGTCAAACTGGACTTTCGACACCAACATCACCTCTGCCTGAGCTGATCTGGATGCATGGTTGGGTTCAGATATCTACCGTCGGAAGGCGGACTACCGCTCTAAGGCTTCGGCCATGGCATCCATCCGATCTGCTGAAAAGACTGGCCCGGTAGCCCTCAACCCTCCTCTTGACATAGCGACCTTGCGAAGTCGATTGAGCTGCAACGGCACTGCAAAGTCTGGGGCGTGAGGGCAGGACTGGCATCGCCCCCAGCTTCTTCAGGACGGCATCCACCACGATGCATTGCAAAGAATGGGGAGAGTCCTGCCCATCTCGTGCTCAAGCAACATCACACAAAAAAGAAGAACCTTACGCAAGGTCTACAACACACGGAACGCATTTCCTGCAGACTGACTGTGCAGCCCTTCAGGAGACTCAAGTTGCGGGAGAGCAAGTACCTCAGTTCACTATCTAAGCGAAGGTCAGTCGTGCGAAGCAAGCACATGACTAAGAACAACAGATGCCCCCAGCGAGCCATTCTCCTGAGACAAGAAACGTTTCTTTGAACAGGTTGACATGCACATAATGTGCAGTGGAGCGCCAGTCAAGTATCAGGTGAATGCACGCGGGTTCGATGTTGGTCAATATGGAGCGAAGCTCACTGAAACGCTTCTCGGCAAAGGATGCTTTCATGGCCTGGATGTAGGCTCTCTTTGCGGCTTCGTCGTTCTTGTGCTCCTGTAAGTAAGGAAAAAAAGTAAGTAAGGGATGGAGTGCCGGGATGCCAAAGTCGTACACTCTGTCCCAGACACTGTTAGACCGTGTTGCACCCTAAATTCTGAACCCTACACCCCAAACCCTAAAACAGCCTGAACCCCAAGCATTGAACCTAAGCCCCAAACCCCAATCACTAAGCCAGAGATCATGACGCTCCACCAGAGCGGAAAACCCTGGTTTACCCCAATGTCGTCAGCCCCCATCTAGTGAATCTATGGCTCCTGTACTGCTATGTCTTCTTGGCAAAGCGATACTAAGACACTCAATGCCCTCAAAGTGCTCAGCCTCGCTCAGAAAGAATGCGAGCGGTCCTTCACCAGCTCGTAAAATATGAGTGCATCCTCTGCCAAGTGAGGACGCTTTCTCACTTCTGTCTTGAGTTCAGCAGAGGTTTCGGCCACGACAAACTCCAGGAACGACTGGCTCTCGCGCCAGTTGACTTGCACACCTTGTTCGACAAAGTCCACGATGTCCTGGGCCCGGAATCAAACAGTTGAATTTGCTTGTGCATTGTGCACCTAAGTCAAATTGAACAGTGATCTCCTGGATGCAAGGGCTGCTCATCACATCTTCGTCCCCATCTTCGAACTTCTGCTTCAGAAGCAAGCACGCACAGAACGTCGCCCAGCCTGAGAGAAGTCAGAATGCCACTAGAATCTCTCATCGTCTACTTCATAACTTGGAAACGAGATAACCTCGGAACTTCTAGCTTATTGGGAACTTGCA